CGGGGTGCGACGAGGCTGTTTCCCCACCCCGGGTCCCCTCCTCATCCGCCCGCAAGCTGAAGTGGGCAGGCGGCCGGCAGCCCGCAGCTCTTTCCTCGCCGGCCCTGGCAGAGGGTGCTTGGACAGCCCTGCCCCACGCAGCCTACACCCCTGGGGAGTCCTGGGCATGAAGGCATCGGCAAGCGAGGCCCAGGCAGTAGACTTTAGGCAGAGTCTGTTTCCATCCCGTGAGGCCGACAGCCTGCACCCATCCTTGTATCTCTTGTTTTCATTTACCCTAGGTAACTGCTGAGTCTGCCATAGCATTGCAAGACTGGTTTTAAGGCTGAAATTTGACCGTGAAACTGCACTTTCCTGCAGCAAGGTCTGCAGCTATTTAAATGGGTGCGTCCCAGGTTCATATCCTCTGGCAGAAAAAAAAAAATCTCGGAAAGTCTTTGGACAAGACATCCCTGTTGGGCGTAATCTCCACTCGGCCACTGAGACTCTTTCTTAGGAAAGTGGAGTTCTGACAGTAGAGTTATCTATCTGCCATTTGGAGATTAAACCAGAATGTTGTCTCAACAAAATTATGATCAACATTGCCCCAGCCCTTGTCCGGGGAAAGGATGCCTTCCTCAGCAGACCCATATCCTGAGTCAGGGACAGCCACAGCCCCTGACCTGAGAAGAGCTCAGACCCTCTTTCCTCAGCATTCCAAGAAATGTATGGTGGGGGGGTCATGGTGTGGTGCTCACTGCAGTGGAAAGACACAGATACTTAGCAGATATTGCATCATGAGTATTCCTTATGAGCCTGGAGGGGTTTTCCTATTCTCAGACACGATCTCTTTGGAAGTGCCTTTTAGCTGCAGCCAAGGCTGTAAGTACCAGCAAAGCGTCAAACAGCAACAGACAGAGGTGAATAATTTCTGTTAAATCCTTTACTCTGCTGCTCTTTGTTGCCTACCAATAACTAACCAAGTAATTACATCAGGTCAAAGTGCAACTAGGTATAGGTGAAGGGCATTTATAAATGAGAATTCAGATAATGTTATATTCAAAACAATACATATTCTAGCCATACTTAAATTTCCTAAGATATTTCTCACCATGCACTATAAACGATTTTTATCATAGACCATGTCTTCAGTTACATTTGTAGACTATCTTATAAATGAGGCCCACATGTGGTCTTTGGATACTATTCCACTAGACATAGTACTAGCAGCCAATTTATTCCTTATCAATACTGGGTCATTCAAAATCCCTGTAGTAATCCATAAGATCTGTGACACAGTATAGGATGTAAAGCTTTTCCCATCTTTCAAGTTAAAAATCTCTTTATCTCATTATGTACGTTAATAATTCACAATGGGGTATTTATACAGTGTTTTTATAAGCTTGCGTAAAACATTTTTATATTTGCAATTAAAAAAAGAGTCAACATTGGGTTGACAGTCTAAATACACTTGTTACAAATGTAGCTTTTTTTTTTCTTTCTTGAAGGCACAGTTTCCATTAGTATTACTGGAAAGTACCTTCATGAAGAGGAGAGCAAACTTTTAAGTGCATTTAATAAATTCTTTAAAGAAATGGTAAAATATACTAAAAATTATTTTAAACCATGCTGAAATATACCACTTCTATTGGTTTTAAATGATAATCAGGCATAAATTGAAAACATGCATGCATGCTGACTGCAACAATTTCTAAATTTCAAATGCAAAACCCAGAACAAATTCTGTTTTTCATTAGTGCTATGCAACACTGTTAACTTTGCAGATATTGCATGGGGAGCAAATGAAGGCAGAATGTGACCTACAGATCCTCTTTCCATTCATGTGAAAGTTCTTTAATCCTTTTGCTGAATATGAGCTGTTCAGTAGAGATATATTATTATTGAATATGGTTTAAATAACTATCCAGCACTTTCTGTGTAATTAATATTGCATACGTTATGCCTGAAACTATGTGATCCATACTTTCAACTCATTTTGCCAAGAATAAATTCAGAGCTGGATATAACACAACAGGCTGTAAAGTCCATGCAGTACCTTAAAGCAATAATGTATTCACAAGTATTGCTCTTCAATTTATCAAGCAGACAGAATAGGTCCTTTGCCAGCACTGGTCACTATAGCATGCCAAGCTATCAGAAGCAATGTGTTGTATAATCACCAATAACACGTGCCCAGTTTCAATCTAACAGTTTTGCATTTTTCTGATCTACCATATATTCATCATCCTGATGTGTTCTCATTGCCTGTCGTTGATATGACACAAAGCAACATTTGCATCCATGTTTATGTAGTGGTGGAAGTAAACCAAGTTCAGAAGTTCTTCAAAGCTGAAGTTTCCTGTCCCACTTATTCCTTTTTAACTAGCTTCCTGTGGGGCAACAGATATTAATCCAGAAAAGAGTAATAGCCAATTAATTAAATATAAATTCTCTAAAGTGATGAACATACAGAAAGGAATCTGTGTTACCTTTCCTAATGCATCTTAATACCTATCACACATTTCTGGATGCATAATTTACTCATGTGTGTTTTAATTATGCGAGACAAAAATATGTTATGTTACCCTCAGATATTAAAAGCAATTAAAAATAAAACAGAAGTCTTATTTTAGGCGACAACTTTTAAAATGATCTTGAATATGTGCTGCAGAAATGATAGATGACTTCTAATAAATACACACTTATATAAATGAGACAAAAGGAACTATTTGACATAAGATGTCTTGTTATGGTTAAACAAAAAATACCAAAGGTTTGGACATGCCTGAAGGAGATAAATTGAATGTCAAATATGCAGTTTCAGTGTAGTGAAGACTACAAGCTACTCTAATAAATTGTTATTAAAGAAGTTTAAATATTGGCAAAAATCTCCAACTAATGCACTAGTTCACAAACTGAATTATTCAATAAAGCCAAATAAGGCTTTATTGAAAGGTTTAACCAATGAAGTGCACAGATATTAGGTTTACATAAGAAATCTCATTAAGAATGTTCATGCTTTTAAACAATTAATTGGAATGAGCACAGTAGTTTGGGTTATTTGTCTGAGGCCAATCAGCATGCCAGAGCAAACCATCTAAACAGTTTTGGAAAGAAGATGTCAGACATCTTCATAGATACAAATAATCATACTTATCCTTGATGCAACTTCCCTGCAGTAAGCACAATCACACCACTGAATAATTTGGCACTTGACTTCTCTGGACAGGCTCTACATCAAGTAGAGACTTCCCAGAGAAAGAATAATACCTGACAACATGCTTGTTTGTTTCTTTTCCCGACAAATTTGCAGACAGTGAAAGTACAAGGGAATGACATCTCCCACAAGCTGCAGATTTCAAAAGTGAGGAAAAAGGATGAAGGCTTGTATGAGTGCAGGGTGACCGATGCCAACTATGGAGACCTTCAGGAATACAAGGCCCAGGCATTTCTCAAAGTCAACGCTAACAGCCACTCTCGGCGAATGCAAGCCTTTGAGGCATCCCCTATGTGGTTGCAAGACATGAAACCTCGCAAAAACATCTCAGCAGCTGTTCCAAGTAGCATCCATAACTCTGCCAATCAGCGTGTGCGTGCCACCTCCAGCCCTGAAGCAGCAGCCAAAATCCCCAAACAAAGTCCACAATCAGGTATGGTAAAGCATTTTGAGCTTTCATTTGATTGCTTACCAGCATGTAAAAGGAGGCTAACTCAACAAGGTAACCAGGAATTGTGACTAGGAAGAGTGTGGTGCTCATTTATTCCTCCTTCTTTCTGGCTCTATTCCTCCTGGTATCCCCTTACTTCCTAAAAGCTGAAGAATAAGTTTCTGGGCACAAGAAGCAAAAAGTCTTAAATTCCTATAAATGGATTTTATTTCTACTGGTTTTATCCGCCTAAGACTAGCTCTCTAATCAAAGCTTAGCTTTCCCTGTAGCGTGTGTGAACAGATAGGGGCATGTCAGCGAATGACTTATCTCATTTTAAGATGGCTGTGCATGATAAATTAAATAAAACACTCCTCCAGAAGTGTTTCTTCCTAAGTTAATTTATACCAGTCACCTAACTTTTATATCTCTAATATTTGGTGAAATTAATCTACTTTTAGTAGCAATCCTATTTTCATGAGGAACTTGACTTCTAAATCTAAGCAGACCTTAGATACACCAGAATGTTTCTCTGTTGTGTAGGCTTTAGGAAGATCATGGGTTTGTCAAAGAATGTGGGTTTGTCACCTTCAGCTGCTTGACCATTGGCTTTGAAGCAAGCATTAAAATAGCAATGCCTCGGTTTTCTGTCACGTAGAAATTCACATATTACATATTTTGTTTGGGAGATTTCATACAGCACTGTATAAATAACCTATAAGCAATATAAGTCTGCATTTTCTACACTGACACAGTAAAATTCAGTTATGAAAAGGTGCATGAATATACAGGAGGTGCAGCTGTTGACCACTGTATGATGGCAATAGAGAGATGGACAGGATAAAAAATTGAAATGTCGCAAATGATCAAAAATCTGGTGGAAAACAAGGGTTTCTGGGTTACCTCTGTTTACACTGAGGGCCCAATGTAAGGCAGGAGAACACAACCTAACTTAAAATATATAATGGAATCTAACCTAGTTTATTCTGATGCATCATTTTTCTGCTAGCAAATGCTATATCATCAAAACCAAAACTGGGAATATAACAAATTTCATAGCACATCTATTGTGAAATCACTTTCATCTTACAGGCATACTATTAGAAAAACATTTTGATAAGGAAAATACATTTCATTACAGATTGGAACAATATGATAATTCATATGAAAATTCTTATTGCTATTAGACAAGATGATGCACATACCACCACCATTTAACCTCTGTATATTTTTAAAAAATTTATTTAAAAGTTACATTCAGTTGTCTTTCCCTGAAATGGAAACACTTTCATTTTTTAGCTCTTCCAAAAAAAAGTTTAAGCTGTTAGAAGAAATGAAATATTTCAATTGATTTAAAATCATCATTCTACCATGAATTTCCTTTCAGAGAAATGTATATACCACTTATTTTCCATTGGACTCATACATTTCAAAGTAACAGACTTGTCCATAAAGTGAAAAGTTTCTGTTCAGTTCCATTTGAAATTCATTAAAATAGTCACAAGTTTATAAAATATGTAGCTGCAGACTACACTGCGTTGTGGCCAGAGTGTGTACACAGCAGCTAATCAACTAAATCACTTTGGATATATAAATGAATCTATAACATTGTTTATGTCTTTCATCCAAGCAACGTCTTGCCTGATTACTGGACATTTGTTATTTGAGAGCTAGTAGGTTATTACATGGAAAAGTCCCTGTGTAAAAAAAATAAAAAACATAGAAAAACTTAATGTTGGGGGTTTTTTAACTTGAGCAAAGATTATTGCAGATCAAGTACAGAAAATCCCAATCACAAATAATTTTAAAATTATCATATTAACATAGAATTTAGTTTATTAATTCTTTTGTTTTATGATGAAGCACAGATTAATGCTATATTCATCAGAGGTGAAACTCATATACTGAAGAAACAAACAGTGTACCAAGAATCTGTATTAGGCTTAATTTCAATTTAACAGTCACTTGATACACAGTAATTACTGGTGATATTTTTGATGAACATCAGTTTAACTCTTGAGAACCAAGATTTACTTTACTTTTCTTGAGAAAATCTGGGCCTGATTTTCCAGCTATGGTGTGATTTGGGTTTTCACTCCATCTTACACTCACTCTACACTAACATAAAGACCCATGGGACCACAAGGCAGTGGGGGCTTTTAGCTCTATGTAACTTTGAGGAGCAACTTCAGCCAAGGAAGGACAGACATCAGTTGCAAGATGTCAGAAAAACATAAAGGAGGTGTCATAGACAGTAATAGTTTTTCTTGATTTCAACACAATCTCCTTATACGGTCAAATGCGAAACTCTTCCCTTCTTCAACATCTTGCTAACTATACATGCACTCACAAGACTGCTGTGTGATTACATGTAAGCAATGTATCCGTCCAGCCTAGAACACAGAAACATGGTTGAGTACAAATTTATCATTAGTAACCACGTTTGTATTTGAAAGACAAAAAGATGTGTTTGATCATGTTGAGTAATACATTGACTTCAGCAAAACTGTTTGAAGAGAGAAGTACTATTAACCATAGGTAATTGTATCAAATATTCTCCTGTATTCGAGAGCCAGTGCATAGTTGTTGGCAAGCAATAAATTTTACTACCATGCTCACAGACTATTGCAGAATACATTTACAGCAGAGGGAAACATGACACTGCAAAACTATTGGGAAATCTGTATTCATCTATTTCTGAAGAACTCGGCTACTAATACAAGAAATATTTACTCTGATTATATGAATATTTTGTCTCCAAAATTTATTTTTGAAAGGTAGCACTCTACTCAACTGCTTCTATACTGAAGCACACTGCCGAATTTCATTTATTTCTTAACAGTAGATATTTAATAGGTAGCTCTAGAACAGCCGTTTACAGTTACTGCCATTTTAAAATATCGGCATTTCCCAACTGAACAGATATTTCTGCCATTTTCCTCTTTTACTCAAAAGTAAGAATATCTGTGATAGCTATGAGGGAGCTATATAGCCAGGGCTGACAAATTAAAGTGATATGAGGTCCATTCAGCTTTTTGCACTACTCTGAAAAATGCTATGTAAGTGTGAAACAGGTATTTGTTATTGTTAGTGTAATGAAGATTCAATACAGGAAGAAAGAGCTACAGAGTAATCTCCACAGCCAGTCTTCAGATAATATACTGAGAAGCACTAAACGCCTACCTCAAAGTCAAAAAATTCAGGAAAGCAGAAGTCAAAGCTAACACAGCTTGACCCTTCCATTTCATATTCATGGGCTGCAGCAAATGAAGTAAGCCATCACAGTTTAACAGGAATCTGAGTAATTTGACAGGCTAATCTGCATATATCCAGAAAATGTCCTATGTAGGTGGAGTGACAGACATTTTTTTTTCCTGCATAATTCATAACAACGTATCTTAGTCCTAATGTAAAAGTACAGAGTTATCACAGAGCCTTTTAACTCTTAGCAATGTTGCAATTAACTGAGGTCCAAGAGCTGCAATGGATTCAGGTAAAAGGAAGATAAATAATCTACACGCTGCACCAAATCTCACTGTTTCACGGATATCAATCTAGACAAAGTCTGCTACCTGCATTCAAGTCACTCAGCATTTATAGCAACACAAAGGGCTGCAGAATTTGATGTGCTGAGAATGTGTATATCCCCCAAACTCTTCCTGTTCTGCCCATGCTCTACTAAAGCACTCAAAGCCATTGGTTGCTTTTCAGACTCAAGATCAGGCTCAGGAAACTCAAGAGGGAATAGCTACAAATGAAGAATTGATGTTAGGTCCATTTTCTGACTGCCTACATACAGACTCTGCACATTTCTAGCAACTTTTTGTTCTTTCCTGAATTAACATATTTAACTATTGACCTAACTACATGCTGAAACTGTTCCTGTGATGATGGCAGAGCTGCAGTGAGTGACTTGAAAAGGAGCACAAAGGAAAAGGTGGTCCTTACCTAAGACAGAATAGCCTGGATTCTTGGCATAATAAATCACACTGAGAAGCTGATCATCAGGCGTGAATACAAAAGAAGAGGATGAAAATGTATTTCTTCAGTCTGTTGATACTGATAAACAAATGACATTCCTTCCAGCCTCCATTTTTATCTCCAGAATCCAGGAATATTTTATTATCAACCTGTTGTAAGCAGAAAATTTATGTCCAGTTTGGAATCTTCTGGGATATAAACCAACTTCTGTGATTTGGGTTGGGTTTGTTTTGCTTTTATGTTACGTCTCCTCTTAAAGTGTCAAAAAGTCTACTCTAGCCTCCACCAAGGCAACAGCCAACATTACTGCTTTCTTCACTAAAGGAAAGACTTTGGCTTTAGCAGCTGATGTTTTAGAAACTATGAGTACCCATAACTCTGGGAGGCACCAACCGTTACTGTGATTGTTGCACAGCAAAAAGTCAAATCTCTGTTTCTGTAGGACTAAAGCAAAAGCCAAATGAGAGTTTTGTTCTTCTTATTCTGAACCTTATTCAGCCATTCTTAGATATTCTTGCAAAAAGATGATGCACCATTTTACACCTGTGTATACCACAATCTCTGCTTTACTTGAACCTTACACTTTGGTTCTCTCTTCCTGAAATGAAGCCACTCCACTTTTTTACCTTCTCTGAAATAATGCAATAAATTCTAACTATGTTAATTGATGTAGCCCGATTAGCCAGTTAGTTTTTGACCTTGAAACTGTAAGGATCTTCTGAGAAGTGCTAATCTGCTCCAAATAACTTAATTGACAAAGCAAGGTCTTACTAGCAGCTAACCCTCTTTTTTTTAGGCCAGGATTTCAAATGCAGAATGAACTCACTACTGCCTTATGTTTCTTTCAAAAGACCCACATCTTAATTTCTTATATTTGAATACGAGTATTTAAACTCCTGTTCCTAGTGTTTAGTCCAAATGAACCCAGTAATAAACAAGTTGTTTTCTGTGGATCTGCAGTTCTAACTCCTGTCACAAGCAAAATGGTATCTACTTTTTGTAGCCATCCCTCACTGCCACTA